CTGTCCCGCGAACCGGCCTCCCGGGAGTCCTCGTGTCCCGCGGACAGCTGCGACTTCTGCCTGAAGCTCTGTGATGGGCACAGGCGGGGACCATGTCTTCCCCCATTCTGTCCTAGGTGCGCCCTAGGTGAGCTGTCCGGTGAGCTGCAAACCCGCCACGCGAAGTGCAGACCTTCCGGGACAGGGACCCTTCCCCTCCGGCTCCGGACCCGCCTCTCTAGGATTTAGGCGCGCTCTACTCTCCCTCCTAAATTGGCTCCGCCCCTTGCCTGGAGCCTCGGCGCCTGCGCCCTGCGCTGCGGACTTGGCGGGTTGGCGCTTGCGCATTAGGGGCCTGGCGGTTCCCTCCGGGCGGGGCGGACGGGCGAGGCGGGACAGATGGCTGCGGGAGAACCGCCCTTGCCCTCGGGACAGCGCGCAGCCGGACCCCGGCGTCGCTTTGCTCTGCACCTCCGGGTGGCTGTGGGCGCGGCCTGATCTCCAGTCCGTGCCTCAGCATTCCTTTGGGTTTTCAACCAAAAAGAAATCTTAGGAATGCTAATTGGTATTTTCGCTTTTCCTTCCCTTCGCGGGAAACCACACCTGTTTCCCCCAAATCAGTCAATCTCCCCACTTTTGGGGCTGGAGGAGCCCTGGCTAGGTGGATATTTTTGTAGCAGGGGCGGGAGAGGAGATGTTATTATTAAGTCTGATGACAAGCAGTAATGCGCCACTAGTTTTGCTGGGTCTATGGCACACCCTGAGTTGATTTCTAAGTGGTGAATACACACCGGACTCGGTTTCAAAATATGGCGCCCTCTAAAGCTACAGGATGCTCTCTCCGAGAAAAGCCCACCCCCTCCTCCACTTGCATTTTCTCCTTGCTTTTCTGCGAGAGTATTTGACCTTCAGTTAACGTCCTATGCAGTCTGTGACAGCTCCAGTGTAAGGCGGGGCCAAGACTAGATTGAGTCATCCAAGTGCTGAGTGGATCCAGTTTTTTTTTTTTTTTTTTTCTAAATTCTTTTAGTTTGTCCCTAGTTTTCTGGCATTTTCTCGTTTGAAAATGTTGTATAAAAGTAGTTACGGATGGTGTTGCTTACGAAAATCTTGGCAGCATTTTTCTGTTTTGTACCTGAGAATTGAGCCTCTAAGTATAAACGGCTGAAACTTCATAAATCTTTGAGAGTTTTTGTACTAATGAGAATGATATTGGCAATCAGATTTTCAGTAAATAAAAGTAGATACGAAATCGAGTGTTGAAAGAACTGTAAATAGAGGCAAGGATTGAGAATTTTGGTCAGTTAAGTTTGAGTCTTTGAACATCAAAGTGACCTTGCAAAGCAAAGTATAAAACGTGCCTGCAGCTCACCAAGCAAGGGGGTCAGAAAAGTGAGAAGTTAGATCTAGTGGCATCCTGTAGGTTTCCATGTGAAGTTGTACATTTCTTCCGATTACACTGCATAGGGCTTTTAGCTAATTTGCTGAATGAATATTTAAAATGCTTTCTGATCCCGTGTGGTGGCACACACCTTTAATCCCACCAATTGGGAGGCAGGAAATTGAGTTCCAGGACTGCCAGGGCTGCCCAAAGAAACCATCGTGAAAAACGAAAAAGAATTTTAAAATGCTGTACAAGGGAGATGGTTGTGTGAAATATACTACCTAATGGAGAAGAGGCAAATAACAGTGCAGGCCATTGGGGTATTGTGTGTAAATAATGAAGTTAGGTTTTATAGGCAGTGGAAGCCTATCAGAATGCTGAGGAGGGACAAGGAAAGGACGGTATTAGCTTGCCTGTATTATTCTTAAACAATGTTAGCATGATTTTCACTTTATAATGATTGTGTTTAGAAGTCTACGTCAAATTCCCCTGTGGTTACTAGGGTTTCAGAGCCAGTCAAGAGGGCACAGACTTTTGACTCCTCCAGGGGAAAGGGGAGGAGTTCTTGAGGAACTAAGAAGGTGAAAAGCAAGAACAACCAGTTCCTGCAGATAAGACTAAAGGAGTTCAAGGCCAGGCAGTGGTGGTCCAGGCCTGTAATGGAAGCACTCTGCAGACAGAGGCAGGTGGACCCCTGTGAGTTCAAGGCCAGCCTGGTCTATAGAGCAAACAAAACAAATTTCCTGTTTCAAAAATGTTACAAAACTGACAACACAGTCATCTAGAGGAGGACATTTGCATCAACCATTCAAGGACTACTAATGACCCTTTCCCAAAAATAACCACTACTGCTGCTTTTTCAGAGAACCTGGGTTCGATTCCCAGCACCCTCTGGTAACTCACAACTATACAATCCCAGGGCATCAGATACCCTAATCTGGCATCCGTGGGTACTGCAGGCACATAGTATACAGACATACATGCATGGAAAAACGCCCACAAATATAAAAAGCAGATTTCAAGTGTTTTTAAAGGTAAAGTGCCTTTCACGAGACAGAGGGGTTTCTGTGCTAAATGCTGTAGGCAGCTTGAAAACCCTTGCCTGTCATTAATGGTTTTGTGCTACTCACTTTCCAATAGAGTGAGACACAAAAAAATCAGTGTTAACAGTATAAAGTAAGTACACTGAAATTACAAGCTGAGTCCTGAGGGATATTAGGATATATATGTGTATACACACACATACACATATTATTGAATTAAGAGAAGCATATTATGTATGTTCCTAAAATCTTAGACTACTGCTGATTCTAGTAGATCTAGGAAGTGCCTCATAATTCCTTCATTATTTAGAGTCTCTTAAATCCTAGTAACAGTTTCGTGGAACAGTAATCCCTATTTCAATAGGAATTTTTGTGACAACAGTGCTGAGTCACAAGAAAAGGTATGGGTAGTTTAAAGTGGCCAAGCCTTAAGTGTTGATGTCCAAACAACTCACATAGTACCAAAATATCTAGTTTGATCTTCATAGGTGAAAATCCAGTGCAGTGTCTTAAAAATCAAGGTCAGGGATCTGATAAGGGCAGATCCACTGGATTATGCACATATTGGATCTTAAGTTTGATTAAGCCAGCTCTAACACATCTGGAGAAGTAGAGAAATCTCAACTATTAGTTCTAGGTATTTGGGGTTTATCATGAATTTTGTCATGTGATGACATATGCTTAAATAGTGCCAGTTTATATGTATGTGAGTGAAATGTTTGCAATTTATTTCAGACACTAAATGAATGTAAACTCTATTGAAAATGGGCAGTGACTGTGGGTGTTTGACAGTTAAGACTTTAGCCCCATTAGGAAGGACTCTTAAAGCCTTAGTTGTGAAGCTGACATACTTAATATTAATGCATTGACAACACCTGGGTTTTGGAGGGGACACATTCACAAACTATTGCAGCCTGTGCCTTTCTTTGCTGCTAGTATGTGAAGCCTGTCAGAGGAAGGTGGTGGTGAAACGCAGTAAGCAGGACTGCCAGGACCTTTCATTTCTTCCACAGCACAGCCTCTAAGGGTACTCTTGGACACCATAATTTCAGTTTCAAAAATTTGGCTTGCTGTTACCAGTATATTTGGTAACACATTATTATTTTGGATCTTCTGAAGTTTTGGGTGGCACTGACTTTTTTTTTGAACCAATATTTTTATTCTTTATATACAAAGGAAACATGCATGGAAAGTTACTTTGCTAAAATACAGGATTTTTTGTTTTTTCTTGACATCTTTTAGAAGTGACACAATTAAAAAAAATCTGGTTCTCCCATTTTTCTAGTATTTTTCTGACTTTGTTTTCCTTGTTTTATGCTTTTTCTCCCTGACTTTTCTACGCTTTCTCCCCCTCCATCAATTTTTTCCCAGATTTTTAAAATTAATTTATTTCTTACATTCCAGGCTCTCACATTTAAATTAGTGAAATATCAGTTGATCTAGATTGCCCTTTATGCTAGCTTGTTTACCCAACGAGGCTGAAGGTCTGAATAAAGAAAGCCCAACCTCCTCCAATGAAGTGGGAATTCCCCAGCAAACTCCCTTTGAAGTGAAGTGAACCATCATCTCTCCTTGGCTTCCACCTAGCTGATTCACAGGGAAGATATTGGACATACAGTGCTCTTTGTAGGGCCATCCTATAGTAAATCTGTGTGGATACATCCTACCAGTTCTGCTTCTCTGGGGAACTCATATAGGAGCCCACTAAGGCTTATTATCCAGTAAATTTTGTTCACACTTTAACAGGAGACTTTTTGCTTACCATGCCCCATGGGCTTGAGGTTCTCTGTTTGCAAGGCCCATGCTACCAGCTGCAGGGAACCTAGGAACCCCTCCACCACTGAGTGGGCTATGCCATGCCCTGAAACAGGCCTGACTATTGTGTGGAAGGGAGCACCTTGTAAGGGTGTGCTTTCACTAAGAACTTCGTGTAGGCCACTCTCTCTCAGTCCTGCTGTACCTGACTTCACTTGTTAATTCCACTGTCAGATGCTGTTTCTTTATAGCACATTAACATAGATATTTCTGCTTAGTATTTGAAATTTTTGATCACTTACTAAATATTTCGCGTAAGAACAATTGTCTTCCTTTGTGTCTAATTTTTTTTATAAAGAAGAGTCCAAGAAACTGTTAACTCCTATTTCTCAAGACAATACCAGTTAAGTCTGTGCACGCAATGGATTTGCTTGAGGATTTTCCTAGTCTATGTAGAAAGAGCTTTATGCAGCACTTAGTCTTTTCTGGAAACCATTTCCACTAGAGACTCATAATCCGCATAGTCCTTCAGTGACTGTATCATGTCATCCAGTAGACAGTCTCCTTGCATGAAGTTCTCAAGGTCATGTAGTGACTTGTTTATTCTGTGGTCTGTGACCCTGTTCTGTGGAAAGTTGTATGTCCTTATTTTCTCTGATCTTCCTTTAGTTCCAACCTAAAGAAACAGATATGAGATGCATTAGGACCCAGGAACCCTACAGCAATGCAAGAACCAAGTCTGTAAGTCCTGACTACTCCCAGATGACAGGGAGGAATGGTACAGAGAAAAGAAGGTAGACTTTAAAGTCAGATTCAGTACTGCGACCTGCCTCTGCCCTTCAATACTCTATGGCTTAAGTCTAAACTTTAATTTCCCATCAGCGAAATACTGATGACACAATTACAGAGTCTGGCAAATTTAAACAGTAGAAACAGCATATTTATGTGGATATGTATGTATCTCTGGGAATTCCTGTCATCCAGGAGTGGTGACAGGGTGATGGGTGGTCATAATAAAGAAGTCATGGAAGGACTATGTACGGTGTGTTCCCAGTATTCTTGCCTCCATTAGTTCAAAGGATTAAAAGCTGAGCATGGACATGGTACATGCTGACAAATCTGAGAAAAATCTCAAGAATTGTCAGAAACAAATAGAAAACAGGATAAAGCTGGACATAGATAGTTACTGCCCTTGTAATAAAAACAGGAATAGTTATAACATAAAAACCACAGTACCCATAAATATTTTGTTTTTGTGTTTCTTAAATTCATTTTTACCTGGATCTTTCTAGCGTTGTATCTTTTGGTAGTTTCTTCTTCTAGATGCATGCTGTATAGCCTTGCACGTAACTTTTTCATAGCCAGCTCCCTATTCTTCAGCTGAGATCTCTCTTGCTGGCATTCAGAAACAACACCTGAATCATGTTATAAGAATTACAGAAGGGTAAGACAAAAATCTTTATTATCAAAGACTAGTCATTTCCTTTCTTATTCCTTTTATGAGATAAGTCAAGACTCTAACAGAAGACTTTATTTTTTTTTATTTTTTTTAAAGACTTTATTTATTTATTATGTATACAACATTCTGCTTCCATGTATATCTGCACACCAGAAGAGGGCACCAGATCTCATTACAGATGGTTGTGAGCCACCATGTGGTTGCTGGGAATCAAACTCAGGACCTCTGGAAGAGCAGTCAGTACTCTTAACCTTTGAGCCATCTCGACAGCCCCCAGAAGGCTTTATTTTTAATACAGACTTTTTTTCACATCTTTGGTTAGCTATCAAAATCTTTAAAAAGTGCTACAAAAGTGAACATATATAGAAGTACAAATCCTAGTATTAGTGTTAATAGAATATAGTTTATTTCCTTTTTTTACCTATTTCTATTTATAATCCCCACTTACCACCTCAGAAATTTAACCATTTTCTGTAGTTAAAAGGACAAAATCCTACCTGCCCACCAGTCTCCTTAACTACTGGTTAACAGGAACTATGACATTTTGTTCTAGTTAAAGGAAGCCTGAAGCATATAAAGCAGATATCCTTGTCACTCACAAGCCACTCCAGTACTGTAGTAATACTTGACAGCATGGTTCTACTAGGCAGTGTACAATCCTTTGCCCAATTATCTAGATTCAAATTGCCTTGGACTTTACAGCCTCAATGGCAAGATGCTCTTGAAACTGCATCTAAACCTGCATACATGTATCGTATTTCTGTGTAGGAAGTTCAATGTTTTTATTGTCTCCAGGGTCCTTGTTACTATCTTAACCCTAAGCTAATGATTTAGAACATTTTCTGATAAATAATTCAGGTGATTATCTCACTGAGGTTTCTTTGGAAATAGTGAAATCTACTAAGTATATATTTCAAAACCCAATTGGCAGGTGGCAGGACTCTGTTCTCTTCATGGTAACTACATGGCAACTCCTGTGCTTGCCCTCCCTCTTCTTGGCTTTGTCATTGTCCTACATGGCATCAGCTACAGGACCTACAGAATCAAGTGACTGGTTAAGAGCCCATAATGGTTTCCTTTCTTTTGGTAGCTAAAGGTCTGCTTCAGTGGGAAATCAATCAGTCCCCCAGAAACTGATCTTGCTTCAGAGTCTCATGTTGACAAGCTCCGTACATACCTGTAGGAAGATGAACAATCCGAACAGCACTGTCTGTGGTATTTACATGCTGCCCTCCAGCTCCACTTGCTCTCTTAGTATCAATTCTCAAATCTTTAGGATTAATCACCAGTTTAATCTATATATACAAAGAAAAGTTGGAACTTAAAAAACAATTGCATGTACCAACTGTCTTCAGATGAAACCTACACAATGTAAATACATGCCATACATAGAATTCTCATACAATTTAAAACGGTTTAAGAATAGACAGTAGTTAGGATATTATTTTAATTTTTTTCTTTTTTAAGTGAATAGGGAACAAAAGCAACAGTCCCTGATCTCAAAAGTTGAGCTTCTTGCCTCACAAATGATAAACTGGGGACAGTTAAATATAAGAAATTGGGGCTGAAGAGATGGCGAAGAGGATGTGCTGCCCTCACAGAGGACCTGAATCTGGTCAATGCATCAGGTGGCGCCCAGCCTCCTTCAACTTCAGCTCTGGGGGATCCCTGCCCTCCTCTGGCCTCTGGTCTCCATGGGCCACATATACACACACATCATCACAATTGTTTTTAAAAGGTAGAAAATGTAGAATTTTGTTGAATTAAAAAAATCTAGCAGATGAAACAAAAAAAATAACAGTTTGACAACATGAAACAGTTTTAGGGAGAGAGGAGATATGGTTTTTAAAATATTATGAATATAATTTGAAGGTAAAGATCATGAAGCTCAGGGTCTGCATGCACTCCATGAACACTGGACTCAAACAGAATGCTGCCCCATCCCAGAGACACCATCAGAAGCACCATGTTTCAACATGTCTGCTTGGGAACAACTAGAGACTGCTCTGTGGCATGTCAATCATCTTGCAGTAAGAAAACCACTCAGAGTGGATAGAAGAGCTAGTTGGGACCTCGCCCTCACTCCCGTGTCCTGGAAGTTATCAGGACTCCTGACACTCACTCTGTTGCCTGTCCTCTGCTCCTCTGTTCCCCATCAGGCTTCTCACAGATATTAAAAGCACGAATGAAAGCCTTTCAACTCTAGTATACATCTAAATAGTACTTTTTCGTAAAACAGTAGGTAGAAACCCTCAACTCATTCATATTCCATTTTTTAAGTGAATTAACTTGTCACTTTCAGCAGAAGAGAAATTAACAGGTCTTATTTTTTGGAGGGGGTGTTGAGACAGGGTTTCTCTGTGGCTTTGGAGGCTGTCCTGGAACTTGCTCTTGTAGACCAGGCTGGTCTCGAACTCACAGAGATCTACCTGCCTCTGCTTCCCCAGTGCGGGGATTAAAGGCAACGGGTCTTTTTCTCACAGACTGAGAACTTGCTTTGTGAGGTAAGACACACTCTTAGGTCCCTTCTAACACAGCTGGTCAGAAAGTAGCAACTGTACTAAGTGACTAGCCCTTTACTGATGGCATCTGGATAGCCCACCCTGCAATGCAAAGTGAGGCAGGCAACCAGTTCAAAAGTTAGTAGGGCCTGACCCATGAGGGAGGCTTTCAACGCCCTTTACTGCTGGCTTCAAAATCCAGTGTAAACCTGGACAGTCTATAAACATTTCCATTCTTATCATCTGTGTAAAATTACATTTCTTATTTATTTATTTATTGTTTGTTTGTTTGTTTGTTTTTCAAGACAGGGTTTCTCTGTATTGTTTTGGAGCCTATACTGGAACTCGATCTGTAGACCAAGCTGGCCTCAAACTCACAGAGATCTGTCTGCCTCTACCTCCCTCCCAAGTGCAGTGACTAAAGGCTAAAGGCGTGCGGCATAAAACTCAAACTACGAAAGGAAAATCCACATGATAAGGTTACAGTTGCTGGAGAGTGGCCCTGTGCTAGCTCCATTACTATGCTTTACCTCAGTGGGCTGCGGCAGAACTGCCACTGTCATGGTGCTAGTGTGGATACGGCCTTGCTTCTCTGTCTTCGGCACTCTCTGTACTCTATGTACACCTCCTTCAAATTTCATGAGTTTATATGCTTCTGGACCTCCAATGCTAGCTGAGGCATGCCTCAGGCCACCTTGAAAACATTGAGAGAAATGAATTCTTTTCACCATTCTGCCATGCATAGACAATTGACCATCTCATGCTTTTTCATAAAATACAGTTAAGAGAGCCAGAAAATAACTGAAAGTATAGAGTACAAGCACACTGCAAAACTTTAGCATGTCTTTGATATCCAGGGTTTCAATACATAATTTTTAACTTTTTAAAAGATTTAATTTTATGTCTGAGTGTTTTATAACTCTGCACATGTGTAACACATGTGTGCCAGGTGCACGTGGAGTCAGAAAGCAGCATCAGACCCATTGGAATGGATTTATGGGTGGTTGTGAGCTACCATGTTCGTGCTGGGAACTAAACAGAAGTCCCCTGCAAGAGCAGCAAGTGCTCTTAACCACTGAGCCAGCTCTCCAACATCTTAATATATAAGCTTTTGTGTTCAGTTACTCAATTACAGTACTGATTGGATTCACATCAGTAACAGCTAAAAGACAATGGTTTTGGTTTATTCTTGAGACAGTTTCTCCTGTAGCCCAGGCTAGTCCTGAAGTAATTCTCTTGCCTCAGCCTCTTGTGTGCTAGGATTACAGATGTGAGCCCAGAGTATCCTAACACCACTTTTCAAAGCTGCAAGTGATTATCATGGAATGGCTTTCCATCATATTTTACAGGAAATTTCAAGATTATATTTTTATTTAAAATCATTAGGTAAATAACGAGCACATAACTACTTAGTCCTTACAAATAAGTTCTGATCAGCATCTTGCCAATCCTTTCCCAGGACATACTGTAGCTAAATGGATGCTTTACAGAAACAAATCAATCCACTTTCAACTGTGCTGTTTAGACTCATCTAAGAAGCAGCTTCAACTGTGCTAATCGGTTTTCTTGCATGGTCTGTGTTTCAGTTCCTGCTTTCCCATTCCAGCCTGGAGTTCCTGCCCTGACTTCCCTTCATGGTATGTAAACTGAAGGATGAAACAAACTCTTTCTTCCCCAAGTTGCTTTTGGTCATGAAGGTTATCACGCAAGAGAAACTAACTAAGAGACTGACCTAGTTCACTTGGGAAATATTCCAGTGTTTCAAAATGCCATCTTCTAAATGCAGCATACTGCTGGTACATGTCAAACATCTCAGAAGTGAAAAGCATGGCTTCCTGACCACCCACACCCGCAGTCACCTCCAGGATCAAGTCACTCTCATCTGTTTCTTCTGAAGGAACCAAAAGTGAGATGATCTGTAAATACAAAGACAGCACCTTCCTGAAACTAAGAACTATTCAACCTAATGCCCAAAGCTACAAAATTAGAGAATTTAGATATGTAACCTACATCATTTAATATTACTCTTCAATATAGTTTGCTCATCTTGCTAATTAAAAATGTATAATGCAAACTTCCATTAAGGTATTAATTTTCAGTTGCATTTTAAATATTACAAAATACATCTACTTTTGATGGGTTTGTTCTTATTTCTTCTTGGAATTCTTTCTTTTGTGTTTTGGATGATCTTGCCTCCAACACCTCAGTGCTGGCAATAAAGATGTACACCACCACACCAGATTTTATGTGGTGCTGGGACTGAACTCAGGGCCTCATGATGCTGGACAAACCCTCTAATAACTAAGCCACACTTTGGGAATCCTATATGCTTTCCATCAATTCCCTGTTCAGGTAGTTTAGAATTAAATGCTAGGAGCAGGGATTAAATTAAATACCACATGTAGAATGCAAAAGAAATTATCCTCTCTTGAAATACAAGACTAATATGGAGCCAGGTGTTGGTGGCGCAGCCTTTAATCCCAGCACTTGGGAGGCAGAGGCAGGTGGATCTCTGTGAGTTCAAGGCCAGCCTGGTTCCAGAGCAAATGCCAGGATAGGCTCCAAAGCTACACAGAGAAACCCTGTCTCGAAAAACAAAAACAAAAACAAAAACAAACAAACAAACAAAGACTAATATGGAAGGAAAACAGGGTTCCTCATATTGCATTTGTCAGTTAAGCTTCTTTAACATGGGAAAGAATACTTGACTTTAGATGTTTAGGACTGGCACTCCATCAGTGCCAATATAAAAGCCATTTTCTTGCCCCTGGGAAGTTCAATTTGCCATCATTCTATAATCTTTCCTTTCTACTATCTATCTACAGTGAAAAAGAAAAAAGATTTGTCTTGTCCTTTTGCCATCCCAGTGAGAGCTGCATAGTACACAATTGTTGCAGCATGAAAAACCTAGAAGACAGGAAGCATATCTTTCTCTGTTTTAAAATTTCCTTTAACACTGGTAAACCCTTCATGGAGTGTGCATACTAGAGAAACATCACACTGTAGGCCTCCAATAGATAAAAGTTTGTCATTTATACCCCAGTAAGACAGACAATAGCTAAAAAAAAAAAAAAAAAAAAGTCTATAGAGTTGGAGAGATGGTTGAGTCAGTGGTTAAGAACAATGACTACTTTTCTAGACAACCTGGGTTCAGTTCCAGGACCTACTACTTTATCAGGCAACTTACAACCTTTGTACCTCCATTTCCAAGGGACGTGATACCTTCCTCTGGCCTCCAATAACATCAGGCAGGTTTGTGGTGCACAAACACATTAGCAGACAAATATTCACATGAAAATAAAGAAAAAAACAGTAACAAAAGTTCTATCTAAATAGTAACGGGCCATTTCTCTGGACTCTTTATAAACTTGTAGTGAAATGCATAAGGAGTAGTGGCATAGGTGCTTTACTCTTTTGTGTACATACCATACCTGATGCTTCAGCTGAGTTATTTCTTTTTGACACAAAGCTATTTCACTCTCTGCAAGTTTCTTTAAATCTTCATTCTCATCTAGGATAAAGAGCAGCAATTAAGTTTGTCTTAATTAGTGTTGAATTCACTTCCACACAAGCCATAATAATAGACTTTATGAGAAAAAAAATTTAAGGGCTGGAGAAAAGGATCAGCAATGAAGAGCTCTTGCTACTTTTGCAGAGAACCTAAATTCAGTTCCCAGCATCCACATGTTGGTTCACAACCATCACTAATTCTAGTTCCAAGGGAACAGATAGCTGTAAGCTGCTTCATAGGTGCAGGGAACAAAATCTGGGTCTTCTTCAAGGGCAGCAAGTGCTCTTCACAGTTGTGCTTTCTCTCCAGCCCCAATAAGTAAACTCAATTTACCAGGCTAGACTTTACAATACCAAAAGGATATACATTTAACTAGTTAGAATGCCCAGGCAAGGCACAAGAGGTTTTAGCAGCTAAGCCAAAATTGAAAGCTGTAAGTCTAAAGTTAGTCTTGATGAATGTTTCCTTCAGATAAAATAATCCTACGGGAACATGTGCCGGAGTCTGCCCAATGCTTACATAATATTCCTCTCATTTCTGTTTTTATGATTGTTTTATCTTTGAGTTCTCACTTTTGACTTACAGATCTACTTTCTCAGTTCTATGGACATGTGCATCTTAGGGAAGGGGATTACAAACTGTTTTCTCTCTGAAACACCTTTTAGTATCTACCCCGCCCTAACTATTCAGGCTCACCAGCTTTCTCCTATGCCGTAGTTCTTCTAGACCAATATGGAATTCTGTACCAGTATCCTTATAGGTTTATTTTTACTACCCAAATATTCATTCAACGGCAAAGCTCTTCCCTCCCCCAACAAAACTCAACTTTTTTTTTTTATCTCTATCTTAAAAACAGAACTCATTCTGATGATGGAAGCTGCCCTCCCTTTGTAATTCCATCCTACTATTTTTATGATATAATCACCAAATCTTGTTTCTTAGTATCTTGCAGGTCAGCTCCGCGCCCGCTTACCACTATCTCTGCTTTGGATAGCAAACAGCTTCCTCCTCACTCAGTTTTTTCTCCACACGAGCTTCGCGGTGGACTTTCCCTAGAGAAGGCCACTTCTTTGCCTAAAATGTAAGACACTGCCCATGATGTACACGCTTCATGTTTCTTTTCCGTGGCCATCTCACATACCTAGGTATTCGAAGCTTACTTGTCAGGTGACACCTTTATCTACAGCGATCACATCAGCCTTCTATTCACTTCTCTTAAACCACCTAAGCACCTCTTTCTTGCCTTCAGAGATCCACTTAAACGCTACTTTCTGCTTTTCAGCACGCCTCTTTATTAAAGTCCTTACTTTTTTATTACCATTTTCGTGTGTGTGTGTGTGTGTGTGTGTGTGTGTGTATACACATTTGCATATGTGTGCGCGCACACATGAATGTGGAGCCCCGGGGTTGAAGTCAGGAATCAACCTCAATCCCGTCTTCCCACTTTATTCAATGAGACAGGGTCTCTAAATCAAGCCTAGAGTTCCCAAGTGTGACCTACTGGGCAGACATCCCTGGAGACTTCAGTGATGCAAATACTCCAGTTTCCGACTAAGCCTCGAAGGCAGCAAAACCGCGAGGGAAACGTGCTGAGAACTCGGTTCCAGGTCTAGGACTCTAACTATACAGTGCATTACACCTCACACTGCAACCGGTCAATACCATAAAGTCACCGGACTGCAGAGCCATCGCAGGGTCTACTTCGTCTTTCCTGAGCATTTGAGCTGCCAGGAGAGTAGGGTAGGCAACCAACAACCAACAACTTCAGTTACTTCTGAGGACTGACGGGCAGACCGTGTCAAGGGAGACCTGCAGAGCCTGCGGGAGGATATTGGAACACTAGTGACGAGCTCGGGAACGCAGATGGCTTCCGAACCCGCTGCAGTGGGTGGCTTACCGTGCAGCAAGGACTCGGTGTCCCGCAACTCCCTCTCCTTCTCGCTGAGCAGCCGGGCAGCCGCCGCCAGCTGATTCCCCCCGGCGTCCAGACTCGCGGCCTCCGAGCCTGCACGGCGCTCCAGGAAGGCCCTTAGGGGCCCTTCGCGGGCGAAGAGCTCCTCGGGCGGCGACGTAGTGCGGCTGAGGCCGCGGAGGGCCCACAGGCGTCGGGCACCGCTCAGGAACCCGCTCCGCATCGTGGCCGATCACCCACGGCAACCGAAACAACGCAAGGCTACACCGAGGACACGGATCCCCGTCCTCAAGGCCGGTTTTTAAAAGCTCTGCCGGAAATGTTAAGAGAGAACTTCCGGCAAAGCGTGGGAAAGCCGCAAGGTTAGCAAAAGTCTAACGGTAGGGGGGCGGGGCGATCAAAAGCTTTTGCCCCGCCTCCAAGGGGGAAGCTCCGATGCCTTGGCCCAGCCTCCGGGGAAGTGGGGCAGTTCCAGTGCCTGGGACCCGCCTCCAAGGGGGAAGCTCCGACGCCTCGGCCGCACCTCCGGGAGGTGGGGGGATCTCCGCTTCCTCAGCCCGGCCTCCAAGGGGAGGCTCCGACGCCTCGGTCCAGCCTCCAGGGGTGGAGCTCCAATGCATCTCCTTCTCCGGGACAGGGGAGCACCAAGGGCTCGGCACCACCTCCGCGGGGGAAGCTCCGAAGCCTCGGCCCCGCCTGCAAGGGGGAAGCTCAGATGCCCCAGCCTGGTCTCCATCTTCGAAGGGTAGGAGGGGAGCGCCAAGGTCTCGGCCCCTCCTCAAGCGGGGGAGCTCCAAGGCCTCAGTCCAGTTTCTATGTGCGGAGAAGCGCCGCCTCTCGACTCGACCTCCAGGGGAAGAGCTCCGCTACCTAGGCAGATCTCAGGGAGGCGGGGGTTCCTCCAACGCCTCGGCCCCGCCTCCGGGGAGGAGCTACAACGCCTTGGTCCCACCTCCGGGTGTGGGGGGGCTCCAAATCGTCAGCTCCGCCCACAGGCGGAATTCAGATGCCTAGGCCCCGCCTCCACTAAGAGCTCAGGCCTGGGCCCCGCCTCCGGTGGGGGGGCGAGGAACGCCAAAGCCTCAGCTCCGCCCATAGGCGGAGCTCAGCGCCTGTCCCCGTCTCCAGGCGTGGCTCTGAGACCCTGGCCCCGCCTCCAAGCCAATATGAGAGTCTTGACGCCGATTCCGGGCTGAGCTTGGACGCACCCCCAGGCCAAAGAAATCTTCTAAAACTTTCCTCCCTTTTGTTCTGGAGTTGTTACTCACAGTGGGAATACTCGCTTAGCTTGCTCAAGGCCCAGTCTCCAGCTCTGCAATGAAAAATATCAAAGGTCTGCCCCTAGTATTAATCCCATCCTCTTAACTGCTAACTGATGCATTTGCAGCTTCAAAGTCGGTCTTGGGAAATCAGGGCTTGAAGCTCAGTCTATGAACTCTATCGAATTACTAGCTGTGTTTTTTGTTTGTTTGTTTTTTGCACGACAGTAGTTCACTGCTGATCAAATTATCCTCGTTGTAGAACAAAATGATAAAGAATGGGTACTCTTAAGGTGAAAACTAATTAAAACTATGAATTACAAAATTTCAAAAAAACGAATTTTGCATCATATCTAATCAGTCCTTAGCATCAAATGCAAGAGCACTAAAGTGAAGAAATACAGTGGCCCTTCACATGGTAGAAAGCAATTTCAGTACCTCAAATTCCCCTTATTTTTGTGTATTCGAATGGCACTATGTAAATTTTTAGTTGTAAGATGGAGGTTGGGACCGGTTTTATTTTGATTCTGCCCAGAGTATAGAAAAGTATCATCATGTGGTTTTCTATCAGGAAAAGCTATTTCTAACTCTAAACTCAATTTTTGGTTATTTTTTTTCTGCCATAGAGATTATGGTGAGGGTACTTTGAATTTACTGTGAGCTATCCCTCCACTGCACTCTTCAAGACATCAGTTATTTCAAACTATATTTTATTACTTATAAAAGGTACTCTAGTGATGTGAAGAATCCACCCAGAAGTCATACTCCGACAGTGGAACACCAATGAGCAAACAATAACTTGTCTAAGGATACATGGGAGAATTCTTTATTAATTCAAAACATCTTAAGAAAATCAGTGTAATGCATATGCATTTCACAATAATATTCATAAACCTCCACGATATAGTTAAATGAAAACACTTGTTATTTGATTTACTTTGAAAACTCAGATACACTTAGCGGGAGACGTCTGAGTTTTCTTACATTATTGTCATGCTCAACTCTATTACATGGTAAAAATTGTAGCACTTTCAGGAAGTCTATTATTGTACATAGGTAAATGATAAAATCTATTCAATGGAATAAAACCCAGAAAAACTTAAACTGCAAGAAAAAGAATCTGGATTATCTATTCAGTTATGAGTACCCACAGCTATTTTGGTATTATGAAATAGCCAAGCATGGTTACTCTTGTATTCATGTACTCAGAAACTTTGTGGTCCACTAATAAATGTATTGGTGGAATACAAAATATGGAAATAGATTACTAAATAGAATGATCATGGAAGTAAGAAATTGTACACATTCAAAATGACAAATTTCACAGAATCAAATTCATTAAAATACGTTTTAGTATTTTGCAAACTCTTTAAAATCATACACAAGAAACACTGTGACAAACAGGTTAAAGCTAGAGGGACAACATCAAGTCCTCCACACCACTTCAGCGTTGTATACATTGCTCAGTGGATGGTATATAGGAAAGCATTAAACACGAGTAATAAATAACCTCTTGCTACAATTAACGAGACTAAAATCTTTAAATCCAACATGTTTGCAGGATCTAGGTAAGCATACAGGGTGTGTCAGGGACAGGGGAATCAGTACCGCTTTTACTAAGTGAATATTCAAGCTAACACTGGTTTGGAATTTGACCCATCTCACTTCCTAATTCATTGCATTTTCTTTACAGTATTTGTTAGATTCTTAAATGAAACCTAGTGTTAGTGCTAAGACGTCTGCCAGAGTTGTTTTTATTTATTTATTTTGTTTGTTTGTTTGCTTGCTTTTCTTGTCCAGTAAATGCAGAGTCTGTTTACCTCTAAGACACCCTCCCTGCATGTGCCTATTTGATAGCAGAGAGTTGCAGTTTAACAGGATGCTTTAACCAGGTGATAGGTGAACAGCAACAAGAGGAGCCCAAAGCAAGAGCACTCAGCCTGCTGGCATGTGCCTTTGGTGTCATGTAATAAACTTGGCACTATTCAGGGCTGGACAGGTGGCTCAACAGTTAAGAGCACTTGCTGTTCTTGCAGAGGACCCTAATCCAGTTCCCAGGACTCACATGGGGCCTCAAAAACATTTTTAGCTCCAATTCCCGGGGACTGTTTTGGCCTCTGAGGCCCACACATGGTCACAGACATACACACAGACAAAGGACTCATACACATTAAATGGGAATAAATCTGTACAATAACAAGAAAAGAATAAAACTATTCCTAACAGAAACCCAAAACTCCTACCAGCATGAGAAAACTAGACAAACCCCAGCGGAGCTATGTTCTGCACAAACTGTCAAGGTTCTAGAAAGTCACAGCTGAAAGGAGCCTGAGGAGAGGTGACAACAAATGGTCATGTGATTACAGGAGGGAGGGGCAGAGAGAAGATATTAACTGAAGCCTCTGGATATTGGAGTGGAATACAGACTCAAGGAGTCAACAACATTACTCTTTAATCGCGACTAATGGCTTCCCGGAGGTGCAGACCACACGAGGTCATTCTGTACTATTTTTGTGGTTTTTTTTATAACACTGAAAATATTCTAAAATTCAATGCAACTTTTAGTGAACACATAGCCACTATCATCACAGATTCATGATAGAATTGACCAAATCACACTAATATTAAAAAGATGTTTTTGTAATGGTGCTGTATGAAGTTACATTTCTCTCTATCGCCCACTCACATACTTTGTATATTGGTAACTAACTTGACTTTATATTATTCCTGTCACTGGGAATCTTGATTTTATTTCCTATGTCTCCATCTTTAGTGTGTGTGTGTGTGTGTGTGTGTGTGTGTGTTTCAAGTATGTTTCAAATAATAAGCAAATGAAGTAAAGAGCACAAGAAAAGTTTGTGGGTAATAAATGAGAACAAGATATGACATAACATGTGTATGAAAATGTCATAATGAAACCCTTTTTTGTATGGTAACCTAAAAAGCTAAAGGAAAAATTTGGGGGAAAGCACATTAAAATGACATTGACTACAGCCCTTCCTAAAAATTGTGGCCTGAAGAACTGTGATAAATTACCACAAATTGTTCCCAGGGCCACCCCATAGTTAATATTCTTCATTTTCAGGTGAAGAGACAGATTCAGAAAGGATAATGGCTTTCCTACCATCTCTGGTCATAACGCCACTTGAGATCAACTCAGGCATTTCAAAGGAAATGTGCCCAAACCTGAGGTGGTTTGTTTAATTATCGATTTAAAACATGCAGCTCTAACTATTTAAAAAGCAGAAATGCTGTAAAAAGGTGTAAATCCACAGAAAAATTTGCAACAGGAAACATTTAGCACAAGATATAAGGGAAATTGAATTTCAGATTATACATATAACATTAAGATATTACCTTTGGTTATTATTATCAGTGTTTTCGGTAACTGCTTTCCCCAACTTGGAGCTTTTGCCACAAGAACTGAATGAGTCCCTAGCCCCATTTACCCGACTAAGGCAACACCCCGTTTCCTCAGTGTTTTCATGAGAATGATGGTCTGGAATGCTCACTTACACTGATGGGAAAACATGTCACTTATGACAGTTTAGGACCATATCTGTAAGAGTAATCTTTTTTGAATGTACACAGAAATCCAAGTTTGCTGTTGGAAGCCAATGCTTCTCCATGCACTGTGTGTTGTTGCACTGATACTATAATCTCCCAGATACACTCTAAAGTAAGGTTTGGGATGTTTTAGTGGTAAATGTTTGCAGTTGTGGCAAGTAAAAAATTCCTAAAATTATTACACGTGGTATACTCCTTTCTAAGGATGGCATTGTATATTGACCAGAAATTTAAAACCAGAAAAGAATATTCAAATAGATGAAAAAATGTACTTTTGAGATCGGTCATTGACTGGCAATCTAAATAGAGAGGCAAGCCAATCTTTTGGCATTCTTTCCTATTTCAAAATAATATGCTAATATATAAGCTTAAAGTATTCAAAATTCATGTCATGGTGGGTTCTAGGTATGTCTTCTAGGTGTTTAAAAACAAATTGGTGGTTTTTTTTTAAAAAAAAAACTTATTTTCCTATGGTTTATTTTAAATTCTTTCCATTTAAAAATCTTCACCAAAGCACCATTTTTTTTTTAATTTGTTTCGAGTGTAGTTTCTACAATTACAATGTGACTTTTTCGGAGAAGATCAAAGAATTAGAGAGAAAAAAGAAGAGACTTAAATTAAGATTCAAGCATTATTTTAAATCAGAACAATAGGGAGAGACATGTATTTGTTTTCAGCAAATAAGCCTTTACCTAACTCTACAGTCCTTTGACACTGAACTATCAAATAAATACAGCACGTACTTCACACTAGGAGGCATTGGAGGGCACTAATACACATTCCAGGCACAGTGACTCACTGCTAGAACTGGTCATATATAAATATTGTACGAACTTTTTTGAAGACCATACTAAAATTTTGACTTTTGTATTTCATATTTTCAGTATCAAAATTCCAGTTTTGCTTCTATTCATATGTGCCTTGTCATACTTTCAGAGCATCTATGATAACCTTGGATAACATCATAGTAAGCCAGAAAGAGAAGAGACATCCATCCAGTATTAGCATATCTATGTGGAAGATCTATCTCCAAAGACCTGTATCTCCAAGGCACCTCTATATACATCATCTTCACCGCTTACTTTTCTTTCCATAATAGATTCACCTAGAGACAGGTACTATAGAAAGTGCATTCACTCTTCTGTATGCATTTGCAGATTCTAACAAGAGACACAGTCATCTTGGCAATCTAAAACACAAAGGTGCTTTGTTTTAAAGTGCTAGCATTTCCCCAGGGAGCTATTTACTCACTAGGAATGAAATCAGACTTGGATAAAGCAAATGTTGTGCTCTTGAAATGGTGGCAGAGACACCTGTTGAGGGTTTTGTTTGTTTATTATAGCTCTGAGATTTAAATAGAAGAAATCATACCATACTTTAAAAACTGGCATAGTCATAAGTCCACAGACACACTCTTCAAAACTTAAAACATTCTGAAATGAAATAAGGATCCCTGCTCCCCCCCCACCCCCGCCCCGAAATAGCAATTTAGCACAGCACAGAACTTCTCACACAGCATGGCTAATGACACGGAGTGTGCAAATGTGCTCTAGAACCTTCTCAACAAAACTACTTAACCCGGGTTCCAAAAGACACAGCAACTGTGAAATGCAAACACAACAAATGCCCAGGTTAAAGATGAGTACTCTATATGAAGGCCCTTAACATTTACATTTGGTAAAATATTAGATGCATTGTCAAACAGACAACCCACCAAATAGTCCAGAGCATCTTGTAAAGATAACCCATGATAGTAGGTCACCAGCATCCACAGTAACAACAGGAATATAAAGTCTACACTGAAAACAATTTCTCATGCAGGCTATCATAGTATATTACATATCTCCTGGTATGTGCACCAATTCATTGTGCCTCAAACACGGAAACACGTATGATGCCATATTCTATATGGGGGTACACATAATAGTAGCATAATAAACACTAATCAAGAAAATAAGTAAATGATTTTGAATGATGGGACTTCAAAATGGAAGCAATGACACTCTTTTTAAGTTTTCTTGACTCTTTAGGAAAAAAATAGGATTTTTTGTAAACATCTTTACAACTATCTTTTTCTCAACATTTTACTGAAACTATTCAAATAGTAAATATCTAGGTGACATGAATAGAGCACATCTTAAATACACTAATACTTTCAGAAACAAACAGGCATTTATTAAAAGATGACTATTATAAATATTTTCTATCTGCATTTTAACTATGTTTTCATAAATAATGTATTTAAAAGTGCTGAACATGGTAGGATAGTCAGCGACGCCAGTGTAAACAGAACATTTGTTTTCTACTCTGCAATTTTTTTTAAAATCCCATTTTGTCAAACACTGCAACAGTTAAAATATTTGCATAGGGAATAGGTAATAGCCCTTTTAATCATAGCTCCTGAATTCTATATAAGTTAGAAAATCATACTCATTAAAAAAAAACAATTCTTGAAATGTTTTAAATTTATGGAAAAAGAAACATGATGCCAACCTTTCAAGTAAAATGAATTTAAAAAGAAAACTCCAAACTTTTCTTTTTAAAAAAATATGTTTAATAAATTAAAAAATGAGAGGTAGTTAAAAATGACAAATAAAACCTATAATTTTATTATCATCCTTAATATAAGGCCAGTATTCTCAGTGGATATAAATCTTTTTAAATCTTCCATTTTTTTAGATTACTTAACATTATATTCATTGAGTTTAAGATTAAAAAAATAGTCCTGGGGATATTGATATTGAAAGATAAGACCTTGATATAAATATGACAATTGTAATTTTGGTTTTGTGAACAATGCGATACTATTCTGAAGGTCAGAAATACATGCCAAGGTCAGGTGAGTATTTCATGTAAAGAGTTACTGTAATTACAAAAAAATAATATTGGCAGCTAAAAGGTTTGAGCACTGTACTGCCTTTTAGTTGTGGATGAGGGTTGATTGTTTTGAACAATGTTAAAATAAGTCTTTCTTGAGATACTACATGAAAACAGTTAAGGTCTGACATCGAAGGTTTTCATCTTCATAACTCCTTGTAAAGTGTTGCTTAGGAAAAACTTAAGCTTTTCACTGGATTATATGTTCAAGGTGAATATGCCACATGCCAGGTGCAGGTCCTCAAGGTGTTTTTTGCAGTGCTACATGTAGGCATTCCTTATGAAATCTTTTCCTTTATATTCCCAAACTGGATTATCAGGCATATTATTGTTCTTTTGCTGACATACATAAGTTTACACAACTATTTTAGAACTGGAGGGCCATTCTATAATAAATTAATGACATTATTGGACATTTGATATATACATAGACTCATTTCTTGTTTTATACCTAAAAACAGTATCACTCTTGGATTTTTCAACGAGATAGGATATCTTCAGATTGTTTTGTGCTTTTTAAAATTTTCTTATCATTGGTAAGGTTTTGTTGTTGTTAGTTTCTTTCTTGTTTTTTTTTTTAAACATAGCAAACTCTTCTGTAATGAAAATGCTAGAGTTTGGGCAGTGAACAACCAGAGGAGTCTCAGACTAAGATCTCTCAACAGGCAGAGATAAACAGCTACTTTTTCTTTCATGGACAGAAAAATTGGCTTCAAAGTCCAAGTGCTAAACATAGTATGTAGCATGGTTAAATATCACAGTTACATGTTTAAAATAGCCTTTTTTGTATCAGATTATGCTTAAAAATGCAAACCACAGCCAATTTGTTGGCAATTGTTTCTAAGAGACCATATTGCACAAAAGTCCTTAAATACAGGTATAAGGTATGCGACTGATTAAATAGTACAGCTAAGCGGCAGACAAAGCAGGTGTACTTTGCACATGCGGCCTCTGGAGATGCACTAGGAGTCTGTTCAGAGGACTAGGAACACAGTTTGCTTGCAAGTAGAACAAGTGTTGAATCAGACAAACATAATTTGGCAATTCATTGTCTTATATAGGCTTTTCTCCAAACCGAATCATGGGTAACCTCAATAAAAATGGAGACAAAGACCTTCATGGCTGTCTCTCGACAGCAGCCGAAGGGTGCCAACCTGGAGTTCTCCAGGAACTCAATTTCTGATGCCATTTAACTACTTATATTTTCTGTCCCAGCCCTCTGAAATGATTTTGGTTTTGGCCTTTCAAATGAAAATTAAGATTCAGAAGAAGAGGTGGCAGTACTTTCAACAAAAGCTTTATAGATCTGCGAGTTCAAGAATCTTGGGAAAGAATCCCTGTGCATCAGAGTGTAGATCTGCAGCTGGGCATCTTCGTACATGTGAGGGCTAGGGTCCAGCAGGTTCCTGTTGATCACCTCCCTAACTCGAGAATCCAGACTGACCTGAAATGGAACAGGCACAGATATGTCTGTGTGGTTTGCAAATGACATTTCAGAGAGACTTCATTGATTAAGTCTGACACCCACAACCCCAGAGATGGTCCTTTCAAAGACTAAGTAATAATTTGAGATTTTTCCCCCCTTCTAATGCTGAATTAAACAACAGCAAAAAGGAAAAAGAAAAAAAAAAGGAGGAGGAGGAGAAGAGGAAGAAAAAGAGAAGAGAAAAAATGTGGTTGATAGCTATCTTGGCTTCTTTGTGTTTATCTTCTCCATGCATTACTGAGTGCCAGAGAATAATCAGACTGCTATCCACCCCTCCTTTCCTGTGATTTCGAAGGTGACTCCATTGTCAATTGGATACAATTCTGAAGGCAGAAGGGTGTTCTCTAACCAAAATCAGCACACATGTCATACATGGTACTCATTACTTTCATATTCTAGTGGGTCTCACCAAGACAAGGGTTCGAAAGCACAAGCCATGGACGAGTAGAGTAAAGCAGAAACAGTGATAGGTCTAAAGTAATAACCACATGGCACCATCTAGGAAATGGCTTTAAAAGGTCTCTACCAAACAGAAATTAGGATAATGAAGCATAATGGTTTTGTTTTTTTTTTTTTTTTTTTTTTTTTTTTTTTTTTTTTTTTTTTTTTTGCGGCGGGGTGGGGGGGGGTGGGAGACAGGGTTTCCCTGTGGCTTTGGAGGCTGTCCTGGAACTAGCTCGTAGAGACCAGGGTGGTCTCGAACTCACAGAGATCCTCACAGTGTTTTAAAAAGTATATGGAAATTAAATTCAGTTAAAAAAAATTAGTATTCCATCACATGCCCTTCTTACTGGACCATTCACCTGGGACACAAAGGGCATGTTAGGAAAGTAGGAATAAATAAAGAGCACTAAGGCCAAGATTAGGGGAGCAGATCAAACGATCTGTCCTGAAAGCCCATGTTGGAAAAAAACACACTAATGTAGGAGGCTTCGATCCCCAGCCCAGTCAAAGGAGGAGAAGAAATAGAAAACCCTACAGGAGACAAAACAATCACCCAGGGCTGCATGTTGGTGGCACATGCCTTTAATCACTCAGGGAAGCAGAGGTAGGCAGGAGGATCTCTGTGAGTTCAAGGCCAGCCTAGTCTACAGAGTGAGTTCCAGGACAGCCAGAGCTACACAGAGAAACCCTGTCTGAAAAAACAAAACAAAACAAAAAACAGGAAAAAACCAAAAAACAAAAAACCAATCACCCAGAGTGTTGATTGCTTTCAACTGTGACCAGGGTGTTGCTGTGCACGGCTGACTATCTCTTAACACACACAGCCTTTTGGGTTTATACTGAAACGCCTTGGCATAACCATGTTGTGGCAGCCATCTTAATTCTGGCTGCTTTTCTCTTCCACAGACAGGATGGTGTGCTGTCCACAGTGATGTGGGAATGAGGCTACACAGATCTCATCTTGTTCCTGAACACCACGCGTGTTAGATTGATGGACAATCTAAAGGGCAGCTTGCTAGATTCGACAGGAAACGGAGATCAGCAATGAGTTTGCTCAGTTTGACCTAACCAGTTTATGCCTAGAAAAATTTACCCACCTCTTAGCTGGGCTCCACATTCTTCTTTCTTGGGAATTCTCTTTTTAGAGACATGTTTTGTAAATGAGCTCTTTACTTTTTTTGCTTTTTCAGGGCATATGAAGTCACCACCAACAACAAAGTAATAAAATTGTAGAGCTCTCCCCCAAGCTTTTTACCTTCTCTAAAGATATTTTTTGTCTGTGTCTACCCAGTAAAATATATTGGCATTGGAGTTTAACCTGGCTCATCTTATTCTGGAATGTCATTGTCAGGTGACATCCTGCCAAACACACACACACTTAGGTTTGCTCTTACTTTTAAACTTGAGAGAACTTTTTGATTTAGTGGAGAAGAAAACTGAAGATCTATGACCAAGAAGAGAGGTTCATTTACTTCCTAACAGTATAGTGAAATCTAGTGTAACAATTACTTATTGGTGTCACATTAGTTATCTTAAGACAAAGCCTAACTTATTATTTTTGAACATTAACAGCAATGAAATATGGAAACACCGTACAGCACAATATTTGGGGGAAGAGGGAGCTCTAGGTTTGATTGAAAGAGTCCACCTTGACAAGTAAAGTGGAAGGGCAGTTGAGGATGATTCCTAATGCATGTGCACTGATAGGCTTGTGTACACACACACACACACACACACACACACACACACACACACACGCGCACGCGCACGCGCACGCACACGCACACGCACACGCACATGCACACACACGCACTCACGTGCACGTGCACACACACATGTACGCTTCAAAGACTGGCTTTTTGGACAAATGACCCAGGCGGCTCTCAGGCACATGGTCCTAGCATCATGGTTTAAAAAGGGTCACCCGCTTTAAAACATAGCAACTTGATTCTGCAGAGCACTAGTTCTGCAAAGCAAGCACCTGTCACATACCATTTGGCCGGAGATAAATGATCAAAGCCCAATGGGGAGACGCTGAATGGAAAGCTTATTAACCTACCCATAGAAATCTAGGCATTAATGGTCTTGAGAGTGGGCCCCCTTAGAGTCACCCTGGTCTCAGAAAGGCCACCTCAGTGTTCTCTAGATTCTTACCTCTTTCGGCGAAAGTATAGAAATGTAGTCTTCATATATCATCCTGGCCTTTTCTTCAACGAGTTTTTTGTTCTGCTCTTTCTTTAAGTCTTCGCAGGCTAGCCAGAAGAGTAGGTTCTCCTCGCTGTATTCTGTTCGGAGGAACTCTCGGAAAAGGTTTCTTCCTGCAGGAGCCTTCATCATTTTGTCAAAATTCTGAGACCAGGACAAGACTTCATCTGCAGTGGGGTTTTGGCTGTGGAGACAGAATGAAGCCATTAGGAGCAACTTCCACACCTGTGAATGCCAGCCTAGGAAGGGGCTGGTGGTTTGAAATTCTTTGTCACGTGCTGCCCTCTAATGGTCATATTCAGCTATTACGTCTGGCTTGATCTGAGGGACAGTTACCAGTCCTGAGTCTTGACAAATGACCCCATAGGTGCAAGATGCAGGGATCAGAGCTGAGGGTTAGAACAGTAAGGAGCTATATACCACATGCCCATAGCTGTCAGACAATCCTAAAGAATCCTGCAAGTGGTGATGCTTCCTAGAAATTTGTTGTAAATGGACGGGAACATTCTGTGAATAACCTTTCTTTCTACCTCTTTTGCATTGTGTAACCATAAGAAAGAGTGGATTTTTCATCTCCAGTACCCATTACTTATTATTTACACCACCTAAAATAAGAATATGTTTTGTGCACTTGTCAAAAATATGCCCAAATGCTCAAAGTATTCCTTGGAAAGCAGAGGATTTTTGGAACAGCATGAAGGATTTTCTGGACAATTATATTTAATAAAGATCACTACTTCATTGCCAAAACCACCAGTCACTATCCATTTGCCCTTACACCAAAGAAGTAGAAGCTCAAAGCTTGCAGATTTTTTTTTATTTTTAAGATGATCCGGAATCTTGGCTTTTGACTTCCTTAATTTTCTACCAAGGTATCTTAAATAAACTTGCAGCTGTCCCATAATACCTGAAGCCCTCCATTCATCTACAGCATTACATTTGGAGCTGTGAAGACTGGCTAAGTGGGCAAAGGGCTTTCTATGCATGAGAACCTGAGTTTGAATACCCAAGCCCCCATAAAAGCCAGGTGATGTGCTCCACACCCCAGTGCTTGGGGTAAGGGGTGGAGATAGCCAAATGCCAAAGACTCCAGATTCAGTGAGAGACCCTGCTTTAAAAAAAGGGGGGGTTGGTAGAGAGTGATACAGGAGATCACTTGATTCTCACCTTTAATGTCTATTCATCACATGAAAATCCACACATGAAAGAGCACATCCACTCACATGTGAATATGTGAATATACACAGCTGTAACACTTTCTCTTTCTCTTTCTCTCTCAATAAAAAATTAAATGTACAGGTGTTTAACATCACATTGAAACTCATACTGAAACTTCTATAAAAAGCAAAAAAGGGGGGCTTTATAATTAAGTGAACCATTGGCTTATAACTAGGTTTTCTCCCCCAGCATTGCATTTCAATTTCTTGTTTCGGAAAGACTTGGTTAAAAATCTGTTCTGGTAGCTATAAAACCAGGAGCTGACAAGCTAGGTGTTTTTACTGGTTGATTTTTGGTAATCCGGTGTGTGTGTGTGTGTGTGTGTGTGTGTGTGTGTGTGTGTGTGTGTGTGCATTTGTGTGCATGTGCTTATGTGTGGGTATGCATGTGTTTTTGCACACACGTGCATATGTATGTATGTATGTATGTTATGTATGTGTGTGGTTCTATGCATGTGAGTATGTTGTGTATGTGTGCATGTGTGTTTGCATGTGTGTGTGTGTGTGTGTGTGTGTGTGTGTGTGTGTGTGTGTGTGTGGTGTTCAGATTCTTATAAAATGAATACAAATTTTAAAATAGTTCCAGCCAAGACTAGTAAAAGTAAGGCATTTTTCTTCAGTAATTACTGCAATAATCTTCATTGAACTAACAGAGAAAATAAACTAAGACAATGCTTGGCCTTGTAACATAGTTAATAAAAACCTGGTCAAAACTAATTGCAATCATATTCCAGGCTGAGCTGCCGTTCATTCCATAGACCACAAGAGATGATGCTTTGGCATGGGGTGGGCACAACTGCCATTAAACACAGAGATTACTCCAGCCTGGCCATCACACTCACCACTCCTCTAGGACTTGGATGTTCTCCATTTTTGTGGTGTGTGGGGGTCTCCCCGAAGAGTCTCCTCTTTCCTCATTCCTGACGGTGAGGCTGCAATGTAACAGACTTTGTCAAGGAAATTGCAAAGAGGCAGAGGAAAGTATTTCATTCATAGGAGAAACAGACCATAGCAGATTTTACTGCCAACCATGTGGGGTTATTTAAAATACAGAAAGCAGAATAACACTTTTAAATGGTGTTGGAGAGTTAGAGTTGGTAAGTCTATACCAACTTAACAAAATCATAAAATAAATCAGAACCCACACATGGATTATCACTGTCTAATATGACTTCATTATTACATAAATTACTTAAATTCTTTTACATAAGTGTACCTTTTTAACCTCAACACTGGACATGCGTTAATATATTTGATGTATTGTTGTGTTACCTTTAAAAGTGGAGAGTCATTTTGATTTTTGCTTAGTTCTGTTCGGTTTTTCTCATTTATTTTCTCCCTATTAGTAGCTAAGAAGATAGAATATATCAGAAGCCAATACAGATTTAGCACCTTTTTAACCATCCTTCCCTTCATTCCATATTTTGTCATCAATACCATCATTCCTCCAGGCCCTTCCTAAAGTTTGAGCAACTGTATTGGGTTCTATGTCAGACAATCTCCAGTGTCTTGGGAGAGGCAAGGAAGCAATTTCGAGGGTATGGAGCAGGAGACCACTGGGTGAGGGTGATGGTCATTTTCCATCGTCACCTGGACAGGATCCAGAACCATCTGGGAGATGGGACTCTGGCCATGCCTATGGTGGAAACACCTTGCTTATGTTCATCGATGTGGAAGAACTAACTTTACCTGTGGGCAGGACCACTCTTCAGCCGGAAGTCCTGTACTCTATAAACATGTTTGCATCCAGCCCCTCTATTTCCTTACTATGGGTTTGACAAGACAGTTGCTTCAAGCTCCTGTTGACTGGATCTCCCCACCATAATGGACCATACCTTGAACTGTGCGCTAAACTAAGCTTTCTCCTATACTCTGCTTTTACCCATGTATTCAGTCACGGGAATAGGAATGAAGCTGAGGCTTGAGGGGAAGGCTCCAAGTCACTGTGACATAGAATGAGATGCTGGGGACTAGGAAAGCCCCATGTGTTCTATTAGAACAGGAAGAATTGCTAGATTAAGGAAAGCTGCAGCTTAACGGTGCCTCATGGAAGAGACCGGGGAAAACGAGAGGCAGTGGTATGACCACTGCCAAGTCAAGGGAAGGTGGGATGGTTCCAGGGCTTAGCTGGTTAAAGCTCTCACCTGGTGTGAGAGAGGGTGGGAGGATGACTCAGTGGTCCTTCCTCTGTAGAAACTCAAGCTCCTGAGTTTAAAACCTGATATTTCTGTCCAGAAGATATCAGGCTTCATGGGAACCCATCAGAAGAAACTGAAGGTCCCATAACACCTCTTTCATTGGCTCATTCATTCATTTACTACCAGAAGTGATGAAAAGTTTTTTGTAGTGAGACCATTCCCTTTGTGTTAAATGTTACTATCCTCATTGTAAAAGAAAGTACAAGTCAGAGTGGTCTTCTAGGCTGATCAAAAGCAGCGTACCAGCTGTGTGGTATGGCTATAGTTTGAACCCTGTAACTCTGCGTTTTTACTGAGTGCTTCTGTATACATAAGGCCTTCTGTTAGGTACCGTCATCAGAAACCGCTAAATATGGCTATGGTACAAAGCAAGCCTTTGGAGGTAGGGAGGTATCCATGAGTAGTACTTCCCAGCCTAGAAACTCTGGCTGGAGAAACTGAGAGATGGTGGCTCATGAATATGCTCTTGACATTCAGATTGTGGGAGGAAAAGATGGAGAGAATGCATCATAGAAAGGAATCTAAAGAATTCAGGTTCCATAGGATGGTGGTGGTGCACACCTTTAATCCCAGCACTCTGGAGGCAGAGGCCAGCCTGGTCTACAGTGTGAGTTCCAGGACAGCCAGGGATACATAGTGAAACCCTGTCTTGGAAAACAAAAAACAAACAAAAGAAAAAAAGAAGTCATGTTCCTACTGGTGATGCCAAGCTACCTTTGAGTCTGACTAGGTAGGAAAATTAATTTTGGCAAAAGTACATCCTTTGGAGAAAAGAGACTAATTGACCTTGGGAAGGATTCTTTAATCAAAAGCACCATCAACCTCAAAGAAAAAACTAAACTTAACAGTGAAGTACAGTAAATTTTTCTCCTCCCAGTTTTTGGGGCAGCGGCAATCTTACTGGTATAGAGCCACCAGAGAATGCTGTGGCAAGCTTGCTGGTATAGAGCCAGGAGAGAATGTAAAACTCTGAAAAAAGTGGCAGAGTCCAAAGACTCCAGAAAGCTGTTTGGTTCCAAGATGCACCAATACTGGCAACAGCCCAAAGACTAGCTTGATTTCAGTACAGTGCAGCCAGGGGAGAGGGACTCACAGAAAGCAGTGGTATCCAATTTAGTGTCAGCACTATGGATGTGCTTGATGTCCAGGGTAGCCTAGGAAACCTTTGATACCTGCAACCCCTTTAGGTATGGCATGCATCATTGATGACATTCATCACTTACTCTTTGAGTGAAGGTATTTCTCTGGAATTTGAGCGTGTGTTTGGGTGAGACACACCACAGACATCATTCTGTCAAATTCCCCCCACATATATCAAATGTGGACCTTTTGTGTCCCAGAGACTGTACCACACAAAACCCAGGTCACCGATCATTTTATGCAACATCTTAGAAATGTCTTCCATCTATGAGACTGCTGTAGAGCAACTGATCTGGAGTCAATGTGTTGAATCATACGCCGCCTCTGAGCATAAATCCTGGCTCTTGTGTCTGTTCCTGCGATGTTTACAAACATCTCAAATGGTACCATATTAGAGCCATCAGTATGAAACACTGGGTTGTGTTTACACCTCTCATGTCTACAGATGGTAAAATATGGACACACATTTGGGCTAAAATTAGTTATGACAGACACTCAGTAAATGCTTAACTGTTCACGGAGGGTGCCATTCTTAATTTAATACTGGGTATGGTCTTAGCCTTCAATAAAAAACTCAACTTAAGCTGTGCTGCCTTAGGAAAATAGGACAAGCATCCCCAGAGACATCAGGCTAGGTAAAGTAGCCAAGTGGCTGAGTTTTGGGATTGACTGGGAGACTACGTCTCAGAGTAAGTTACACACACACACACACACACACACACACACACACACACACACACACACACACACACACACCCATATGTGCACCCCCAGAGAGAGAGGGGAGAGAGAGAGAGACAGAGAGACAGAGAGACAGAGAGAGAGAGAGGGGGGAAAGGAAGATGAAGCACCAACAATGTCTCCTAGAGTTTGAGCTAGAGAAAATGAGGAAGAACATGTTTCTGGTCTGGCTGCCTATCATTTTCACTTGGTTCTGCTCTGAAGATTCCTGGGCATGGGGCTGATTTCAAAGGTAATAAATCACTGCTCATATTTTCTCTAAACTTCTCAGTGATCTATGTGTTTGAAAAGGTTAAGAAGGAAGACCAACAAACATAAGAGTTGTGAATTCTCAAAAAGATGTGTGTGTTAATTGTCCATTTGACAGACTCTAGAATCACTGGGGAGATGGGCCCCTGGACATTCATATGGGGGGGTTATCTTGATTATATTAGTTAGTGTAAGGAGGCCCATACTTGATTGCGGATGAGACTACTCTAGTAGGGGATTCTAGACTACATAAAATGGGGAAGTGAGTTGCACATTAAAACACATTCATTGGTATTTCTTGACCATGGATGTGATGTGAACTGCTGCTTCAAGCTCCTGATATGTTCATTTCCTGGTCATGATGGACTGTACCTGGAACTGTAAGCCGGAATCAGCCGTTTGCTCCTTAAGTATGTGGGGTTTTTTTTTCCTTCTTCATTTTCAGGTAGGTAACTTTAATTTTTTTTAAGATTTATTTTTTAATTATATATACTGTGTTCTGTCTGCATGTATCCCTGCAGGCCAGAAGAGGGCACCAGATCTCATTACTGATGGTTGTGAGCCACCATGCAGTTGCTGGGAATTGAACTCAGGACTTCTGGAAGGCCAGCTAGTGTTGTTAACCACTGAGCCATCTCTCCAGCCCCCAGGTACATAACATTTTAAATTAACATTTCTATCTTCTTATCTAAGATACAAAGAGAATGAGACACACCCACAGTGCTCACTGTTGGAATCTCCATCAAAGCGTATCTACTTCCGGGATGCGAAACTTCAACAACCCTACCAAAGCAAGCATGGAGACTTACTGGAGATTCTCAGGCCTGATGACCTTGAGAAGGGAGGAAATTCGACTAGTACATTTCAGAGAACAAGAAAAGCAGGCTCTGTCTACAGATTGTGGACTGTTTGGAAAGAGCAGTGTGAATTGTGGGGCAAGAGAGACACCTGAAGCTGGAGGTGGCTCTCCTCGCCTGTTATCAGAAATAGAGCACACTCTACTCTGGAAGTCGGTCAGCCACTGTAAGAAAATTATCAGTCCTTAGAAACAACGCTTGAAGAAAGTGGTACATATCGTGAAACCTTTGCAGTTGCCATGGCGATGGTGGAACAGCAGATGATCACAAACAAATATTCATGCAAAATGCAGTGAGGAATCAGTAAAGTGCACACATTTAGTCCATTGTGACAACAAATCTCCAGAAAGGCACCACTCTCATCAGGGAATAGGGATTGGTTACTAACCAACACCATTTCATTTGCAAGGACACAATTTGCTCAGGCCGACTCCCACACTGCCTCCAACTGCAGCAGGCTGGTTCAGACCATATCCTCTAACTTCTGGCCTCATGCAAGCTTTGCCTTGCACCATGCCCACTGCCTCTTCTTCTAAAAGATGTCCAGGATGCTTCACCTTTTTAGTTATCCACCAAAATATGCTCATCTTAGAGAAAAGCTATGGGAGGGGCATATCAGATTGCTAAGTGCCCTTCTCCAAAGCATGGGGCACACAGAACACAGCACACTTATACAATAGCAAACAAATCATGAATATATCAAAGTCAGACAGCAGCCAGGATGCCTTCAATTTCAGGTGGGGGATAAGTCAGTTTCAAAAGTGAGGATGTAGACATCTCCATGTCTGCATTTTTGTAATATAACTTGTTTTGAGTGACATGTCAAGAACAGATAGTTTGAAATTTGTGTCTGGAACTGTCATGTAACACGCATGTATAATTTTGGCATATTTAGTGAAATGTTGAAGACAACAAAACTCCTGCGTTTGAGGATGTAGCCCAATTGGTGGAATGCCTGCCTAATAGGCACGAAGTCCTGAATTCAATTCCCAGCACCATATAACACCAAGCTCAGTGGTGAATGCCTGTAGTCCTAACACTAGGGATGTGAAGGCTGGACAATCAGAGGTTGAAGGTCAACCACGGCTAAGTTTATTCAAGGCCAGCCTACACTGTGTAGATCCAGTCTCAAGAGGATCAACCAATCACACCACATCAAATTAC